GGCGAGTGACGTAAGAATGCGGATAATACCAAGCTAAACTGGACAGCACGTAACTTATGGTGTTGTTATGAGTTTTAGCACACCGAGAAAATCAAAGCCAATCGTATTTAAGAGTACTCGTTGCAACAACGCATCAGCTAATATCGAAAGAGCTTTTTTAGGACAGCAAGAGTTCGTTATCCTACATGTAAAAAGCTCCTGCAAGCACGAGAAAGAATATCTTAAGCAAATAACCAAAGTACGACAAAAGAAAAATAATTTCATTTGTAATTTGTCAAACGATTAGCACACGAGAAAATTTTCATTCGATTATTATTAAATGTTATAATCTATTTCAAGTAAAAAGCCTTACAGTAAGATTGAGACAGCCTTTATATCAATATGATAAACGTAAAATGCATAATGGAACGAATAGGAAGATGGCAATAGGGATAACATGTTTTGTTGTAAAAGGGTTCGTTTTTAATAGAGAAAAAAGGCAAATAAATAAACAATATGAAATCCATGACTGATACATAGGGATCAATATTTTATGATTATTCTGTGATTTTCATCGAGCTTTATTATTTTCTGTCTTTTTAGCATTCTTTTTCTAACTTACTCTAAAGCCTTGTAGGTGCTTTCTAAATTTTCTTCGAATATTTGACAATTTTTCTATGGCTTCTATGTAATTGATTCTTCATGGAAAACGGATTATCATATGTGATACTTGATCATGTTTTCTTTATTATCTTAAGCAAATGCTATGGCGTTATGAATATAATTGAAGAGATTGAAAAGTTCAGAAGACTCATAGCATAATTCCAACAGAACAGATCAAATACTTCCCAGTTAAAACCTGAATGCCAAATAATTTTAAGCCAAAATAAAGAAAACAGACAAACATTCATGAAGCTTTTGACAAATTGTCATAGTGCTAGAACCATTTCTCAGTTTGAAAGTGTTACAATGTCAAACATTTTAAAAGCATTTTCGTCGAGAGAAGGATATTGTATTTAGTATTTCTATACTTAAAAAATAATTTCGATTTCAAAAACAGTACCATGACAAAACTGACAATTGCATACACCTTTAGAACAGCTGGAAAGGTACAGGAATCAATTTTCAAGCTAATGTTCTAAACCTCTTTCTCTAAGACTGAATGCACTTTAAATGGAGCAAAAACGTAGTTGTATTCGAAAAGGAAGAAATAGCGAAGCTTAAGAACAGTGGTTAAGGTGAGAGGAGCTAAAGACAGGACAGAAAGACAGGGCAGAAGGACAGGACAAAAGGGCAGGACAAAATGACAGGAAAAAGGAAAAAAGGGCAGAAGGATAGAAGGATAGGGCAGCAGGACAGAAGGATTGAAGGATAGAGACAACAAAGAAAAAAAACAAGAGAGAACAGAAGAAACGTGCTTATGCTTAAAGAGAACACGCAGAGGCAGCACAGGATAACGATGCCTAAAGCGATGTTGTAGCCATGCTCAAGGATGAAGCCAAGAACAAAAAACACGAAAAGAGTCTATTTAAAGCCAGAAGGCCTAATATGAGAGGCTCAAGGAAGTAGCTGCAGAAGAGTATGAATAGTCCTAAGTTTCATTTCTCAAGGCTATCAATAAAATCTTGATGTGATTCAAAGAAGTTGCTATTACTGGAGGAAAACTGATCTGAAACTGACATTATGTCTCCCACATTTGGTATTTTCGTACATTCGTTATGGTTGCGGAAACGAGTTTGATGATAAAATAATTTTCCTCCAGCAAGCGTCAAGTGGCTTTGCAGTATTTGAGGATGATACTGCACCAACAAGATCTATATATGCTCAAGATACACACACTTTATATACAGACACGCATTTGCTGATACAGTCGTAAAGAAGACTCGCATTTGAAGTGGTGGAGTAAAATGAGTTGTATGAGGAATCTATATAGAGTTCTCTTTTATAGAAGATGGCATATCATGCCATATCCTAGATCCAAGAAAACATGCACTTTCAATACCATACCCTTTTGTTTTTAATTTCGATGCACAAATATTTTTGCAGTTTCGAATGTGGTAAGGTACATCTTTCAGAACGAAAATTTGTTTCATGAAACTAGAATCGAGATTGCTTTGAGTTTCAAAGATTTCGGTACCAAGCAACTTAAAATTTCTCTGGTGAATGGAAATCGATTCTGCTTTCTTCAATAAATCTTCGAAACTTAGAACAATTATCCTTGTATGTGATTCTCAGGGCTCTCTCGTGGATTTTGTTTATTTTCTTATTAACCGGCCTATCATGAAACATCCAGGTAAGTGGACAGTAGCTAAACTGGGACATAACACAAATATTCATCATAATCCTTAACTCTTAAAATTTGAATCTGTTCTCACAACACTAATAAAATTAATTCTCAACATTCATGTAACTTGAATGCGTGCAAGTGTAGCAGCTTTTGTCCAGCCTTTTTACATATTGCATTAACATGACTCTTAAAATCAAGGTTCTTATCCAAGGTCAAGGTTCTCAGTTTCCTTCACCAGAATGAAAAGATCATTTAGAAATATACTGAATAAAAGGGGTCATAAAACAGAGCCTTGTGGTACACTCTTTACTAATTCCTGCCATTAATCTTAACTCGCTGTTTCCTATTTGGAAGATACTAGTTTTAAGGCTGATCTAGCTTTGCTATGAGTAGTTCGTGATTCAAACAATCAAACACCTTAGATGGGTCCATTAAAATTGGATATGAGAGCTGATAAAATATCTGAACTAACTCGCACGAGCGAGGTTTGCTGAAAAATATTTCCTATACGAAGGAAAATTCTAGCTCTTTTGCTACTTTGTCTTGATGCGGATGTATGGAAACACTATTATCCTTCATCCACAATTAAGCACTACGACACATTTTTCAAACACTATTTTCATGAGGCCAAAACAAAGGATATCTACAAAACAGAACGCTCCATCCTTTTCTTAACGAAAACACATATGAATCCTCTTTTTATTGAGCTCTCGTTGCAAAGGAGGTTGAGGGGTTGTTGTATTTGAGGAATCACTAAATATTAGCTCCCTTTTATGTGTAGTTTATTATCAGTTGTACTTTTTGCTGTTAATTTAATGTCTGGTAAAAGCAATAGCCGCAGGGTTGCAATATCTTTGTACTGTCGTCGTACATTTTTAATATTTGATATTAACTGTATATTTCAAGAGCATTTATGTTTAAAAAATGTCCGGAAAATTGGACGTGTACCTTGCTAAAAGTTGGACGTGTCGTGATTTGTTCAAATCAGAATTTGTGAACAGTTAAACGAGAATATGTCTATTTCAAAGTTTTTCCACAAAAACGCTCAATGTCATTTGTATTGTTGTGTCAAAGATGTGTCAAAGATGAGTCTTGACGACTAGGAATATTTAAAGGTCATTTGCAATCAAAACCTTATCCCTACCTCTTTTATGTTTTAAGTATAAGAAATAATGTTATCATTTCTTTAGCAGGGTGTGTTTTCCAGGAAAAGTAAATGTACATATAAGTAGAATTGGAAAGTAATTATCTTCCTTGTGATGAGATAGAAAATGAAGAAGAACCTCTTTACAGTCTTACTATGCTGGCTTTTACTATCAGGACTAGACGTTTCATTTGATCATATATCTGTGTTGTATGCATCGATAGCTAAGGAGACAGAACAAAATTTATCTTCTTCATAAAACCAAGGATAATGGAGTGAATCTTAATGATGTGTACTAATTTAACTAAACTGAAGTCTGGAAAATTGTTATCAATTGTATGTTGCAATTATAGGTTCATAGTATCATTAGTATAAGAAATTAGATTATTTTATGATCTGAAAACAAAGTATTCTTTAATGTTTTGAACTTCTTGTTTGCTTGAATGTTTTAACGTTATGCTTTGATTTCTTGAAAATACTTAAAAAAAGTTATGAATGAAATTTGACAAAGCATACAAGGTAACGGGGATATATAAATCATAGAAAATTAAAAAAATATGAAACATTTTAAGCAGTTAATACCAGAGTATTGCATTAAAAGTGTGCTTAAAATGATGTATAAAACATTATGTTTATTTTTATTAATTAATACACAGAAAGAAATAGAAATATAGAGTGATGACTCGGGAAGGGTATTAGAGATTCTGGCAACTAGAGTATCTGATAGTATACATTTTAATATTACAAAGCTAAGCAACAAACTAAAAAATATCAAAAAATAATTCAAAACTTGAACACCTGAATTTACTAAAACCAATTTATTACTTGACTAATGCGCGAGATCACTAATTGCTACCGAACAAGTAGTTTGGTCGCAATGCTGCTGATTGATTTGTTCCGATATAATTCTTATGTTCTGATATAGCGTTACTCGACAACTGAATTTGATGTATACCGCTATATGGTGATGGTAATAACACAACGGTTGTATCTAGAGGCAAATACAACATTTGAGGAGAACAAGTGAGCAAAATTAGTACTTTTAACACATTGTAAATTTAACACATAGTTAGCAGAGCTTTGATGATTTTTTAAAAATCAAATGATGAAAAGTTGCAGCTTGTTTAGCAAATAAAGAAAGTAGAAATAAAGGTTGAAACAGTACTCGAGTTAATGAAAAAAAACGAAGGAGAATAAAATGTCAAATTTGAAAAGAATTTTTGAGAATCACGAATCAGGCAAAAATGAGAATCAAGCAAAAAAGAGTACAAAAATGTACATAAACAAATATATAGCACTACAAACGAGACCATGTTTATTTGTAACAACTGAATTAATTGAAATACAAGTAATATGAATTGGTGGCAAGTCATTTTACCATTAAACAAATTCAGTAAACACTTGGAGAGGGTGCATGTTTTGGAGACATGACATCAAAGCTTTTGAAGATACTATATCAAATTTTTTGTAAGGTTCAGTTCCTAAGCAACACACGGAGGATAACGAAAAGCTTTATCGGAAGATATTTCAACAGATTTGTGTTGGAATTTTGATTAAATCGCAGGCGAAAAATGAGCAACTTAGACGTACCTGTCGATGCATGGCTGCCTTCTTGTCAATGTTGCGTTTGCCATCGACCCGGTTCGTCAAGCGGTGAGTATCAGCTATTGACAATGATTTTTTCTGCGGCATATTATAAAGCAATTACGGATGCTTGTGAGAGCGGTGTTGCTATAGGCCTCTGTGTAGTGCTGTGAATAACACGAGATCCTTCAGTCCAGAACGACGCACCGATGAAGTAGGCTAGCTTTGTCATGTGTCAATAAAAGTAATTATTTTTCTTACCACAGTTCTGCATTCTGCAAGTGAAAATACAGTCAATTCGACTGGCAGAACTTCCCCGAAGACAACTAAAATTTGCTTTATTCGAGAGAAGCAATGCAGATTGTGATACAAGATACGCAGATAGATAAAGTAACAAAGCACTCCTCGTAACTCGTAACTCGTAACTTTCACACGACTAGTCTCCTCGTAACTTAACCGACAGAGTAGTTAAACAGTTTCAGACTGGTTGAATTGCTCATGTCAAACACAGGGGCTACTCCGGAGAAACAGGGTACCATCCAAATAATTTTGGACTCAACCACGTAATTCCTCGTCTTCGGTGAATCACAGGCAATTCAAATCGAGGTAAGCAAAAGGTTTCTAAGCCAACAACAATAAGACCAGCAAGGTGATGAACCTAAGAGAAACTGCAAAACATGAAAGTTTCCCAACTCAAGTCTCCATCATGGTCTTTGTCTACAACTAGGACCTTAGTGAAAGATAAACAATAAAAGGGAGAAAGCAATAAGATTTGTTAGTTAATAGTAGACTAATAATTTACCTTTCCATCCACTGTTTAAGACAACGTTGATGACGGATGTAAGTTCGAAGAACACAGGGTTTTTTGTAACCTTGCTTCTTGATGATAAACGTGAAGAAAGATTCGCAAAATATAATTACCGCAACCATGAGCAACGTGATCGCGATGAGGCTCAAAATGCAACTGTTTTAACACAAAATGCTAGCGTGTTTGTTTACAGATCGAAGAACACTTGCTCATAAGTACTTGCGTCCAGCCTTGGGTGGCAGAATATCTTTCTAAAAAAGATGCAGTTTTGAGCAAAATCTAACAGTTCTTCCCTGGTCGATGCAGCAAAGAAAATTCGGCATTGAACGTATCAAATCGATGTGTTACACCATCAGTAACCGGCGAAGAAATCAACACTGAAAGGAGCGATTCCGACTCACATGTGCAGGTGCAAAATATTCTGAAGAGCATGTGGTTTTCCGCAGATAGAAGAATTCATCAAATTTTGTTCTGTTTCAATCGAGACGCAGCAATTACAAAACCTTGGCACATCAACTTCTAGTTACAAGAAGGCCAGTAGAAAACAAAACGATTAACTGAAATCGTTAAAGAAGCTCTAATCAAAGAGAGTAGCCGTTTGGAAATCGGCACTTGCTTGACTAAGACGAAACATCAGAGCGTTGGACACGAGATCCAGTAGAAACCTTGTGGTAACTTGTGGTGAACAACAAGCAATATTTCTAGAATTTCTTTTTATTTTAGCTTAAAACCTCATCGGGCAGCAGTAAATCATTCATGATTTTCTTTATAATCACTACTTAACCAACAATCAAATTTTTTCTTTATGGGATCTTTGAAAGAACATTATGGAAGGTGCATTCTTTGTTGCAACGGGGCATCGCGAGAAACCTGGCAGCCAGATTTTACAAAAAATCTTCATTATAGCTCAACAATGAAAAGGCACGTTAACAATAAAATCAAAATGGCACGTTAACAACAATAACAGAATATTATCATGCTTCAAATAAGAATTATAAGCTATCAGACATCACACTACTTTGCTACATATTATAAGCAAGCAAACACAGCATTGTTATCTAGTATCCATTTGAAAGCAGTAACCAACATTTAACAAGCGTTAGCAACACGCTCATGATTTACCATGTTCGTAATCGTGTTTTTTGTAATATCTCTAAAGCTGAGTTGGAAAAATTTCCTTTGAAAATCGAATATATGACTTCATTTCATCAGGAAAAAGCTCATAACAAACCGCAAACTTAGATGCATACGTAGACAGCTTCTTTGAACTAACTTGAAGAAAAAGAGTACACCTTAAGAGGAGCTTGCAACTGGTATCGATTGTTATGGGGAGGAAGATGAGAACCAAGAAGAAAGGATCGGAGTAAATACCAAGTAGCCCTGGATAATAAAAATAAAAATAATAATAATAATAAACTTCTTTTTTACAGTATGTGTGAAATAATAATAGCTCGTACTCTTCAGAAAAGTGAGCTAATAAAAACCAACTATTTAACCAAAATACACCAAAATATAATATTTATAATAGACAGCATAATTTGCAACTGCATCCTTCACAATGCTCTAAATTTTTGCAAAAGGAAGCTATTGTTTCACTGCTCTTTATTACATCTGGTATGCTGTTCCAGAGTATGCTACCCCTAAAACATAAGGACTTCATTCCAAAGGTCGTGGTGGGTGTGCTTGGAAGCAAAACGGTGTCCTTTATTTTGAGATTTTATTTGATCTCTCTTCTCTGGAATAGTTCAGACAAAAATGTAGAGTTCTCATGATTTAATGTTTTGTAAATCTCTATCATCAGTCTTTGTAAATTCTGAACATGGACAGCTTTTTCATTGCTTCTAGCAAGTAGATCATTAAACGGTGCATCGTAGTCATCAAACAAAACATGTAGTGCTCGTTTGTGGATCTTATTGATCTTATTATTGGCACCTTTTCCACAGAATATCCAAATCAAGAGGTAGTATTTAAAGGGGCAGTATTTATAGGCAGGAGGAAAAAACGAAAATTTAGAAAGCGAAACACGACAATCGAGGGGCTGAAAACCACAATTGTCGCTATAATCGGCAATATCAGTTGAAGGCGAGGAGGCCATCAAATCCATCAACCGTTGAAGTAGCCTAACAATAATCGGGTGTGTGTCGACATGAGATCACCCGTCACCTATTCAAATGCTATTCTTGTTCAGGGAAACAAGAGTTGAAGTGCCGTTGAAGTACCTCGTGCTACAAATCATTCTGCATTTAGGTCCTGAAGATTTTTAATATAAATACAATAAAAAAGAGAACTTGCCAGCCAGAGGTCAATTCGAAAAGAAACATCGACAGCTCTTCTTCACAACAAGTTAATGTTCTCTGGCCTCATGAAATATTTACCACACACTTTCAGAACTCAGCAAAGGTTTTTGTTAAAAATGTAAATCTCTAAAACGATGTGAGAAAGCACAAATTTGCATTTAATTCTTCATAACGAGAATATCTTGAAAAATACATAAGATGACATCGCCGCAGATTACATGTAAAAAGTGCGAAACAATCAGGTGATTTTGCTGTTGGCTCTTTAAGCAAAGTCCTGCTGTCTATTCAAAACGAAAGAAATAAAACATTCTTGCAAACACTGTCATAGAAAAATGACGGCAAAAACTCTGGCCTTGAAGTATCGTTAAAGCACTTTCTAATAAAACCACTTGCTATATCCATGATCTGATTTTCAATTTTCGAGCAAAGTGTGACTAAGAAGCGGGTCGTTCCCCTGCTAAAGATTATTTGTGGAAGACTCGCACCAAAGCAACGGTCATAGGCCTAGCCGACGACAAATAAACATAAATCTTCTATAGTTTATGCAAAGACACCAATTTCTGCCAATTCTGTCTGTCATCCCCTATCATAGCTACATAACGAAAAAATTCTTCATCTACCATTTTACCACCTCCTGAAATTTCAGCCCTCTGAAGCTATGCATACTGTGACACTCAACATGCTAAAGCAAAATGTCGAGAACAAACTGGATGGAAATATCATCAGACATTTAAAACCTTTAATCGATCATTGATAAGGTTTTTAGCCAGCAGGATGATTTTGTTGGAGTATTCACATATATAGTTTGTTCTCCCTAGTACCTTTGCCGTGGCAACAATGTTTTCACTCGATCGAAGCTGGGTTTCGAGGATTTAGGGGATTTTTAAGGGCTTTGCTTGCTTTATCTAAGTTTTATTAGTTGGATATAACCCTACTTTTATGAAAAGCAATTATGAGCATTCATTTCTATTTAACTAGTCAAATTTATGGAAATTCAGTTTTGAGATAAATAACATTAACTATTTAATAGTCATTAAAATCGGAGCATCAACAATCAGTTTATTAATTTAGGCAGCTCCTTCTTACAGTACTTCCCCTCATACATTTCATTTTATTTCTGAATTTGCACTATATTGTATTATATCTCATTCGATGCATCAAACTTCAGGTTATTGTAAAAAAATTCTGTATTTCATTTATTTACTTTATGATTAGTTGTTTTTCAAATTGCATGATTTGCAATTGAAAACACGCTAATGAGCTTGAAGCTTGAGTCTGTGGAAGAGAGTGGGATTTAATTGTGGAAGTGAGGGTTTTAAAGATCGGAACCTGATTATTGCAAGAAATGTGAGAGATGACTAAAATTTAGCGATGTTGGCTGACTGTTGTTTATTATAATAAAATATAAGATCAATTTGGTTAAATTGCTTGATTGTCACTAATAGCATGTCTTTTCAGCACTTTGCAATATAATTATAACTTTGATAATGGAAAGCTATGCACACATACTATTTTACAATGGTGGTGAATTATGTACAATTGAAGAGAAAACAAGGCCAAACAGAGAACCTGAAAGTACCTCGGCACAAACATAAAAGTAAGCAAACGAGGTACGAGCATCTGGAATAAATAAAAATGGCTTTGAAAAAAAATTATAAAACACACTTAAATTTTTCTGCTAAAAATCTACAATATCCAAATCGTCAAAATAATTTTCGAAAATCTTAACCTAGGAATTACATATACCCAGGTATCGATCGAAAAAGACCAATTAGAAAACCCGAAAGGCAATATGTTTCCGGCAGTTGGCAGATATCGGTGATCATTCCATTAGCAGTTTTTAGTTTCGACATAAAATTGAACTTAATTTCAAATGTAAAACCTGTACCGTCGAACTAGAGAGGAGCTCATTTGCACCCTTGCGCTCAACTGGTAATATTTTCATAGGCAAGCGGCACTGATTGGGTAACCTTTGTATTCTGTGCTCGCGTTTCTGACTGGCCTATTTCGATATACTTTAGAATTTTTCATAATTATTCTGAAGTGTTATACCCTGAATAATGATTTAGATAAGTTAGCTTGAAAAAAAAATTACAAAAAGTATTAAATCGAAATTCTCAATTGGCAGAAAGATCACAACAACAATGTCAAAATGCTGCCAGTGTGTTCTTTTTCAGTTTGCATGTAATTGAGTTCAAATTGCTACTGAATCATAGTGCTATTTATAACCAACTTAGCGAAAATTCTACAATAACAGATAACAATTGAAAGTGATTTCCACATCACAACGTAAAAAAAGACAGGTGTCAGATGAAAGCACGCCTTGAAAATGCCTGAATTTATGACTGACTTTTTGCAGCTTCTGTTAAACTTTAAAAAGATGTTTACTATAACACTATTTGTGAAATCCAACACATTATAACCATTAAATGCTCTATAAAATATATCGCGCTTCAGCACATGCAAGAAAAACCCTAAACTCTGGTGTTCGATTGTTCCTTCAACAATACTAATAACACAATCATGAATTGATTTTCTTCAACTAGCTTTATTAATCCTTTTGGTGTGTTCGGAAAGGAATTGCTAGGCTTCTTATAAAAGTCAGAAACAATTCTATGTAAGCAAGGCTTGTAAAATTTCAGGAAATGCCTAGTTCTACATCTGTTGTTACAAACAAGAATTAGGGGTTTTGGTATGAAGAACCAACAGAAAGAAAGACGAAACAAGACACTTTCAATATGCTGGGCGAGAAAATAAGAACTTCCTCGTAGAAGGATCAGGTCATCAAACCATGTGATTCAGATTTAGGCTAAGAGACAATTGCGTTTGATTTCGCAGTAAAATGCGAGATCACGCAATGTTCTGTAGGCTGTTGGTAGAATGAAAAAAGCTGCTTGCACAGATTCAAAGCGTAAACAATCAAAATGAGACTTGATATGAAAGATTTTGGCCAATGCGAGTGCCGTTGCAATAACACTTTAAATATGAGAAATGCTCTAGCAATTTGTAGGTAAAATATTGGGTTCAAAGCACTATTATTCATGTTATATATATTATGTAGAATTTAAAGAAAACTAACTGTATAAACCTGACTGGAGCTTGTCAAGTGGGCAGACCAGTTAAGCAACCTTAAAGGCAAATTCCATCTTCGACTTCCTTTATCCGTACGCTTACGTCTCTGTTCTCCCTTTTTCGAGTCTTTCATCGCCTTTCTTTTTCTAAGATCAAAGTCCTATCTGATGTCTTCTTTAGCAGATTATTTCAATAATCTAATCAAGAATGCACTGATCTGCCATTTAATGACAGGTTTAGCAGGTTTTTGACAGCTTTGTCAAATAAAAGTAAGTGAGCATTGAATCTCTAAAGCAACTTCCATCGCAACTCCTAGTATTTTCAGACACCCATACAAAAATCTCAAATAACAGGTGCCATTGTAATAGTATTGTAAAGTTGATGATTGTTTTCGTAAAAGGACGGGGGATCTGACAATAAAAACGAAAATGTTTACAATCTTTTCACAATGATTTTTGCATGATTAAAAAGAAACAACAAGAGAATCTGGCAAACCAATGGCTAATACAATTTATTATCCCCTTGTATTTTCATTATCAGCATCTTCTTCTCTTAACAATTAAACCACATGATTCCATCAATCTTAATTAGCCTACTTTTGTTCACCTTTACCCTGTCGATAACGCAAAAGTAGAAGCAACAAATACCCAATGGAAATATCATCTTTTATTATACTTATATAAATTATTTATATATATATCTTTCAACACTGGTGGCGTGTCCACGACAGTGCAAAAAGTTCCGCTGAAACTCAGTCAAATTCCGCTTCCCGAACTTTTAATTCTACTCTTAAAAAATAATTGCTTCGATCAATTATCCGCTAAATTGAACTGAACCAAGCCTTCTATTAAATCTCGAAAGATACTAGCTTTTAAAACAATATAATTTAAGTGAAAAGAAATCACAACTCCACAAATTTATATCAAAAGTTGAAGAAAAATCTGCTAGCATCGAAACATTTAGTCAGTCTGACATACAAAACTAACTTGATGATACAAAAACAGACAAAAAATTTTGTGAGATGTTCTTTGTAATGAGATTACTTTTGCTAGCCACAAAAGGCTTTTAAATAATCAAAAACGCGAAAATGCATGGATGTCAATAAATGTAAGATTCTTCAAGTACCAGCTACCAAAAGTAATCCTCTTGAATGAATCTTTAACATTTGTAGGCCAAAAATCCTTAAACAAAGGCAGAACAGTGCATATTCCCTAAAGCATACAAAAAATTCAAGTATTCGTTTAATTTAATTCATTTTGAAAATTTGTCTTATAACTTTGGATTCTCGTCGCCGTTTTGCTTTGTTCCTGAATTTTATCCTCGTATTCATATAATACTTATTGCTTTGAAAAAAGCAAACATTTGAGTAAACTAAAGCTTTTCGTCTGACACTCTTTAGAGTTTAAAACATCAGAACATAGACCGAAAACTGTATATTTCCTAGCGTTGAGTGTTCGATCTATGCACTGACGTTTTAAACTCTCAAGAGTGTCAGACGAAAAGCTATAGTTTACTCAAATGTTTGCTATTCTCAAGCCATTTTCAAATATGTAATAAGAATCTTATGTCATAAAAACAATGTTTGAATGCGATGATAAGAGAGGAAAAGCACAAAAAAATTCACAATGGAATAAGAAAATGTGACTGGAGCAAGCGTGAACCAAAAATGAAAGCAAGAGGGTAGCTAGCGGGTGACTGAAGGGGACGAGAGACCCTCTCCAATTTTGCATGAATGGTAAATCTTCAGTTTTTTCCACAAAATCCTTATTTTGTCGGCAAAGGTGCCTATGTTTTCGCAGGTGAATTCTACCTTTTATGAATCCAACCTTTATGAACTCTTCATGAATTCTAGAAGGTTAAGCTATGCCACTGACAAGAGGCAACTGGGATAACCACATTACATCGTACTAGAGGATTACTCACACTATACGAGTAGTACACTAAATCTATTATGAAGTTAAAAGTGGTAGCAAACTTCTATTTGATCAATAAAAAACGTGTGAGTGTAGCAAAAAGGAAGTAAAGGCCGATTGATTCATAATGACCAGGGAGAACCTCACCAAAATTCAATTTGTTACAAAGGAAGATGGGAAAGAAAAGAAGCAATGCAGTTGGCTTCACGGATGACGTAACCATAAATGAAATTGTCAGAATTAATCTAAAAATGACATCATGACATCAATCATGCTTTAACAAATGACTGGTGCTCGTTCGTGGTTTGAGTAATTGTCTAATAAGTTGGCTTTCTTAATGTATTGCAGATTTTAAGGAGAATCTATAAGAAACTTGATAACTATCGAAAAATCTAATTGTAGGTCAAAAAACAATTTAAATATTGAAAAAGTATTGCACATTTAATGTTAACGCCAATAAAGATCTTGAATTCAATAACCTTAGGGACAAACGCATGACAAAGATTTTACAGAGATTTTTCGTGGTACACATATTAGTGATGGCTTTGAAGAAAGCAGACATACCCTTAAATATACTTAAGCTTCTCGTTTAACATTTTTCAGTGTATAAAACGTAAGAACACAAGTCGAAACTCTTAGCAAGGACAAATATATTTTTTTGCGCAAAATACCTTCCTGTTATTTAGAACAGGTCCGACGATTGTTGATTTAAGAGCTTATTTAAAAGATAATGGAAGACTTTCAAGGGAAAAGAAAATTTGTAGCCATGTGACATGTCACTATTTACAGTTGCTTTAAAGGAATCCTGTTACGAAAACAAATTAAAGAGAGGCAGGTGGACCACAACGTACGAAAAACGCGTGCAATGAAATGTGGAAAGGCTTTACAATTTTGTGGTTAAGTGGGATTTTAACTTTAGCCGAAAAATTGAAAGAAAAGCTTTCCGAATTTGTCCTTTCTCAAGTTTAGTTTAGAATGTGGTTTCAAATGTTGAATTTTTATGTTTTTTCGAAAATTGCAATATTCATTTCACTCATTTTGCTTCAATGCTTCATGTGGAAAAAAATTCAAAATGTTAAAACAATAAAAAGATAAAAAAGACAACGAACTAAAAATACAGTTAATACTAAAAATGTTGTTGGAAAATAATGTAGGCCATAATAACAGCCCATATCAATCACTTAATAAGTTGGGTTCAACAGTTTCAAAATAATTTGAGTTTCCCTCTATAACGCTAGACAATTTTAACATTCAAATGCATTTGAGACAGCAAAAAATGACGTTATACACAAATACCAAGTCTTGTTTAGAGTTCTTTAAGTGATGACGTCATAAAAATCTTTTATCACATAACATGTAGAATTTTCTACTTTTGGTAACATAACATGAAAGAGCCTCACGAAATATCTCTAAATGTGCGCAATCAGCTAAATGGCTGATTCCCCATCAAGCAACTGTATTTTGGTCAGAACAAAGCAACAACAGAAAAAAAAGTAAGCAAAGTAAAGAAAAGAAAATTAAGTAAGGTTAAGTGAAGAAAAGTAAGGTAAAGCATTATGAACTAAAATAAAGTACAGAAAATTGATGATCCTTACTAAGTAATGGCCCTTGCCGATAGAAAATAAAGTGGCACTTAGGTTTGGAGGCAGCCTTGAGGCAGCAACATAATAAAGTAAGATTACTAGTTCATTTTCTTTGCAGCACAACAAGGTAGAGCCCACAATCCTGAACTCTGTTGTCAATTAGTGTTGTCTCTATTCGGAGCACCAGGGCTACTAAATTTCGAATGAGGAAATGAAAGAGAGTGGCGGAGAAGTGAAGGAGCGTCTTTTTCTCAGAAAAACACTACTCCACTTCTCTGACCCGCTCTTCTAGTTCAGTGCACGAATTTATATGGCTCTGTAACCCTGGGTATCTTATCGCTTGTCCGTGGATCTTAGGTTAAGAACATAAGAAAAAAAATGATGACTATATTTACAGATGAATATAGTAATTTGTATTATCCTATATATTTGCGACACTCATGAAAATTACTGTTTACTGATCTGTCATAAAGTGCTTGATATCGTACAGGCAGAGCTGTACACGCTATTTGGTGTATAGAACAGGACGTTTCTAGATTGCCACTCCGAGTTTCACGCTAATGTGATCGTGAGGCAACTTTCCTGCTACACTTTTTACAAAGGATGAGGCCTAAATACCTGAAATCTCTGTCCGCTGTAGAAAAGCCTTGGAAGCTTAATGATGGTGTCCTAAAGACATAAAAAATAATTATGACTAAGGCAAAACTAACGATAAGCAAATTTCAATTTTTAATAGACAAGCAAATGACGTTAATACGTAAAAAAGAGATCTATTTATCTTAAAGGAAAAAGTTATTTATTTATTTATTTTATTTACGACAAATTTACCCCGAGATAAAATTCAGTTAACTAACTATACTGCTTTCCAATTTTCCCACAAAAAAAATTTAAAATAAACCTCGCTATAAAAGATAAAAACATGTTTACAATAATTTGAAAAAACGAAGAAGCAATTAGATGAGATAGAAAAAATATAAAAAAGCTTTCCTTAATTATTTTAGGATTGTATTTAAAATAGTTGAGAATCTAACCATGCTCTGCTCACTTAGATGTTGAAGAATTAATTTTATTATTTTTTTGCAAAAAACTAGAAATGATTAGATAATTTGTAAAATAAATATATCTTTGAAACATGATCAGAATGTTACAAGTAATTGTTGACTTTTTCTTTCATGTTTTTATATGATGCAACGAAATTTTACAAAAACGTGTTTTTTTATGAAACTACCACATTCAACTGTTTCTAATGTATTGCCGATGAGAACTAAATAAGAACATCTTGGCATCTTGGCAATTTAAGCCTCTGAACGTTTTTGGATATTGAAGTTTTTCGTAGCCTTTCTTGTGAATTTTTCAAAATAGTTTTTAGATTATGAATGGTCTGACTTTATTGAGTGCAATGATACTCAAATTATTTAGTTCTCATCTGGAAGCATAATATCGTATCTTTTTTCATGTGATATTAAAGCTATGTCGATA